AAAAGGGTGAATTCACGACCTTCGATATAATGTTGAAAATGCCGTACAGCACAGTACATAGCTAGGAGTTCCCTACCGAATGTGCTGTACCTCTATTCGGTGTCTAGCAACCGTCTAGAGAAAAATGCTAAAGGTCGCCAGAAGTTGTTAACCCATTGTTGTAAGACTCCTCTGATTGTCGAGTCGGATGCGTCTACTGCGATACTAATGGGTGCTTCGGTGTCCTGATTAGCAGGCATTGTTGCATTAGCGATAAGTTCCTTAATTGTGAAGAATGCTTTACGTGCGGTGACGTTCAAATTAATGGATTTTGCATTTCCACGAAGTTGGTCGGTAAGTGGTTTCATGAGTAACGCGCATTTAGGTATGAATCGTTTATAGAAACTTACAAGGCCGTTAAACGTTCGTAGTTGCTTGATGGTGGTCGGTTCTGGGTAATCCAGAATTGCCGCCACTTTGGTCCTAAGGGGTTGAATGCCTTGAGCATCTATAGTGTGTCCTAGGAAGTCTAACGAGTCGGTTCCGATTTGGCATTTCTGAACGTTTACAGTAATGCCATGTTTTTGTAGTCGTTCGAAAACAAGATCCAGATGCTTGAGATGTGATTCTCTGTCCGGACTTGCGATTAGGCAGTCGTCAACATACGCGTGTACAAAGTTGAGACCTCGAAAAAAATCGTCTATGAACCTTTGGAATTCATAGAGTCCAAAGGGAGTAATGATAGCTGTTTTCGAAATGTCGTCAGTAGCCATAGGGATTTGGTTATACGCTTTAACTAAGTCTATTTCCGAAAAGACAGTTGTACCTCTCATGGTAGCTGTTAAATCGTTGCTGTCCTTTTTAGGGACCACGTGCAACGGAGATGCATATGGGCTATGTGACAGTCGTATGATACCTAAGTCTATCATGTGGTCGAATTTGTTTTTCACCAACCTTAGCTTTTTGGGGGCTAGTCGTCATGCTTTATTGAATACAGGTGGTCCTGTAGTCGTGATGTGATGTGCAACGTTGCTGGTTACACATGGCAATGTCGGTTGAATTTGGTGAATCCCAGGATACTTATCAAGTAGTGGTTGATAAAGTGGGTCTATCGTATGCTTAATTGTGACTGGGGATAATCTGCAACCAGAAAAAGAAGTTACGCAAACGGATAAATTAGTGTTTCCGTCTACTAGCCTCCGTTTGCGCGTATTGATGATTAGATTATGGTGTTGTAGAAGGTCCATTCCAATGATTGGCATAGAAACATCTGCAACAACGAAGATCCAGTGAATGGGTTTGCGTAAACCCACGTTAAGGTAAACGTACCTTTTGCCATACGTAGCGATAGACCTTCCGTTTGCCGCCTGTAAGTTTAAAGCCGATTCGTAAAGCCGGTCGTTAGAACTCTGTGGGAGAACGCTAACTTCTGCGCCAGTGTCGACGAGGTAGCGAACTCTCGTTGTCACATCTGTGACGTATAACAGACGGCTATGTTCGCCGGCTACGGTTGCCGTTAACACGTGCCGGCTTGGAATTTTCCCGAGTTGTTTTTCGAGTCGGTCGGTTTTGAGTTGGGAAAATTGCAGGGTTTTCTGCAATTTCTGGAAGACTTCCCATACTGGTTATGATACCAGCATCAGTCGGGGTTATCTGTCTCTCTTGGTCTAGAGACAGATCGCTTACGTGAAGTGCTTCTTCGTGGGGTGTGTGATCGCTTACGGTTCTTACGAAAATTGAGATAACGTGTAAGTGTATGACATAACTCTGTTATATCATTCTGGTACGTTTGAGGCCTTTCTTTTACTGAAAAATCCTCGGTAGTAGAAGATTTCGTTATTTCTAAAATGCGGTCGGCAAATGCAGCTAGCTCGTCTAAGGCGTTGTTGTGGAACGAGACAAGCACAGCTTACACCTGTTGAGGAAGATTGAATAAGAAAAGTTGTTTGAATGGGCCATCGTCGAAGGTTCTTCGGCCGATAACCTCTCTCATGCGTTGCAACATGTCTGTCGCAGAACCGTGTTGCAGGTCTGTGTTATTAAGGAGTTAGTCTAACCTTTGTCGATCGGTTAGGTCTCCGCGTTTATGAACAGAACGTTTCAGTGTTTCTTAGGGTTCCGAAACGTCACTAGCAAACATACTAGATGTTACGCACCTGTTGAATTCGCACGGTAGTGCCTTGACTACTGCGAGGAATTGTGCACGTGTGTCGATCACGCCGTGCTCGGAGAAGTCAGCTTCTGCGTAGCAAAACCAGGCTTCGATGTGGTCTGACCAAAAGGGCGTCGGTTGAAACGAAGGTGGGGACAAAGCCTAAGGCTTAAGTTCTTTGGGTGTCATGATGAAATATGAAGTACGATAATGAACGAGGGAAAAAATATACATGTATCCAAAAAGCAATAATATATAGAATCCCAAAGGGGAACAGACTCACAGGTTATGATTTAGTGTACGAGATCACGTCAGGCTCATCATTGAAGATGGCACAGGTATTCAATGTTTGACAACGCTTTAACCAGTAATACCTTGTAATATAACTCGTACCCACCAAGAGGAAACAAAAAACAGAATCGAGGAGATCGGAAGATATATTTGTTGACTGTCAATATATCGAGAATCGTCTGATCTAATCTGGCTAGCGATTGCAGTAGATGTTGAGCACGGCGTTCCCACACGTGCTCTGGTGTGGATGCATGACCGAGCGCCTTCAGCTAGGTGAGTCCATTGAAACATGTGGTCAACATCCAATGTCGAAGAGTTACAGAGCTAATTATTTTTGGGATTTATTTACCGCTACAGTGTCTTACTTGTAAACAGTGCTCTTCACTTTGCAACCCTTCCAGAATTTCACCTAGTATTTTGATGTTAACAAAGAAACTGGTAAGCGCCATTTAGACATTACTCGTCAACATGCATTAGAACATGGTTTAGATATGATCAAAACAAACGCGCATCGCTTTAGTTATGGAGAATATGTGACTAATTTATGTGGCACTAACAAAAATGTTATACACAGTGCTAGGGTTGCAGCTATCACGAGTTCACCTAATCTGTGAACGAGAAACAAGGCTCGGTGACCAAAGACCAGTAAGCTAGCTATTGATGCGTCCCAGCCCCGCTAACTAGAGCGAGAAGTCCAAGTTTGGAATGCGGAAGTATATTCTACAAACAGCCAGAAACGAGCGATAACAACAAACACAATTCAAAACGTATATATACAGTTCAAAACCGTCTTTGGGGAGAGTTGCCAAATAGCATACTAAAAGACGCGACGCACCAATAGCATTTAGAGTATTTTCCATAATGAAATACGACATGAAGGTTGTCACGTCCAAGTTTTTGCTCGTTCCCTTTACTGAAGTACGGTATATCGATCTATTCTCAATTCACGAACCCAAATTAACAATAGAACCAAATTCCGATTCAGATACCAAAGTTTATTCGCGATTTAAAAATAGTCTACCCAAATGTCGTTCTAACAACAATAATTATAACAATTACAAAACAAACCTTCAATTTTGTAGGTTCCCGGAGCAAAACTACCAAATACCAAACCAACGACAAAGGGAAACTAAAATGTCCGAAATAATGATATAAACAAGCAAGCTCCAAAGTTAAGTAAAACAGATACGCCCAAAAACACAATAAATTAATAATATACAATAAAAAGATTTTGATCCGCCAAATTTTTCAGTTCTCCTGTAACAAGGTGACAAGAGCGCCTTTGGTACGAAAACAAATTCAAATGTCCTAAATAAATTTACAAAATTAGGTCTTTTCCCAAATGAGTTCTGGGGATCTAACGTCCCTAACACACAATACCTGTATATGTTCATAAAGCGGGCAGAAAAGGCTATCAACGTCAATTGTTATTCGTAATTTTTTCTTTCGCAGATACGTTACATAATAATATATTAGTTCAGCCAAAACCGATGATGCTTATAATGGATGGAACTCTCTATGGCTATTTATTAACAAGTTATATAACATTCCCAAATAGTTCAACGCTTAATTGATTCAACCTACATTTAATAAACAACTACCAACATCCATATTCACCACCATCATAATAAGGGAGGTGGATAAAATGTGGAAGTTCTTAGAGCTCATTTTTCCATAAAACTCTGATTGTGGTCAAATTTTGACTTGGTAAATGGTGAATTTCACTTGCTTGGATTTGCATTGTTACGTATAACCATATTAGGCTGACTGAATATTCACCAAGGTTGTGAGGAAAAAGTACGTCAAACTACTAATAAACTGGAGTAAAAGCCATGAACCAAACACAAGCATTACGAAAATTGACATGGAACGGAAAAATTGCTGTTAATACCTGATAAATAACGAAAAACAATGTCTTCCACAGCATGTAAAAAGTGCGCAAAAACCCCTGGCTTAACGTCCTGACCGTCATCATCAGGATAATACTCCTCTTTTGCACAGCGTGCGTAAATGAATGATCATGACATCTTTTGCTTCTGAAGGATCAAAACAACTGCTACTCCTTCTTCCGCTCACCTAATTGGGTGATACGTTTACCTACGTTAAGTGAGAGTTATGTGGAATCTTAGTTTATGTTGAAATCACTCCTCACTGTAAATGTCTAGCTTCTATTATTATGTCATGTTGCCAAAGCAAAGTAGGTACCTTGTTGATTTTATAGAACAGTTGGAATTAGTTTCTTAAAATCAGATGCCGATATATTCAAATCCAGAGGATGCAACGTACTTGAAACATTATAGCGTCAAATTCCAGTCTACACTGCTAGATTTTATAGGTCTTATGCCTTTTCATTTCTAATTCATGTGGTATATGCATCTTGAGCGCTTAAAGGTTGTCAACTCACTTTTTTCTCTGTCCCTTGACTTGTTAACTTTCCTTGTTCATTCTGCACTGCACGTTCCATCAGCACCCAAATTATTCCCAAATCTAACGTTAACAGCTAAATATTTAATAGGCTTAACAAAGACTGAACACTACATATTCGTGATTCGTTTTACTACGGTAGTTTGAAGGACAGACTAAAGGTGGGCAGATTCTACCTGTGAGCTTAGTGTATTGTCCGTGGGGTTGGACTGCGATTTCAAATAAATAGGCTCACCAATTTTTTCAATAACGAAGCTTTTTAATATTCATAATGGTAATCACCTTTTCGTTTCGTGATATTTTCAAAGAGTATCTTAGCGCACAATGGGTCTGCTGTCATTGCAATGTCTGGCAAAGATTGCGCAGCTATTGCTTGTGATCTTAGGTTTGGAGTTAATTTGCAGACAATCTCCACTGACTTCACCAAAGTTTATCCTCTCGGACCTCGGCTGTACGTAGGGTTTCCTGGATTGGCAACTGATAATCAGACAGTGTAAGCATTAAAAAATTATTAATGTTGTCCACCAGGTTTCAGCGTTTGCTTTTCCGAAAAAACATGTACGAGCTACGTGAGAATAGGACAATCAAACCTCAAACTATAACTACCATGTTATCTAACTTGCTTTACGAGCGCAGGTAATGTTACTTATAAAGTTACAGGTGTAGGTTTGGACCATACTTTGTCGAGCCAGTAGTCGCTGGTATTGACCATACTACGAACAAACCATACGTTGCATGCATGGACTTAATCGGCTGTGTATGTGAGGCCAACGATTTTGTTGTTAGCGGCACGTGTACGGAACAAATGTATGGGATGTGTGAAACACTTTGGGAGGATAATATGGTAAGTTATCTCATTTTCTAGTTTTGAACATGCTCACTGTAGTGTGGATGTTTTATCCACATTAAGCACATCTAGTTGACCGGATTATTTTGTAGGTGTTTGACTCCCATTTTGTTACACAATGCATGATATGACGTTTCGGTTCAAAACAGCAAGTAGTGTCTAGGCTTGAGCAAACTTATCTTCTTAAACCGTACCTCTACCTATTTTATTATATTCATTTATTCTCATTCTGTAGTCTTACGTTTTGTAGCTACTTGAGTCAGTGTATTTTGGTGTCGAGTTATAAATTAATGCCATCTTCCTGTGCATCACGATTTACTCTCCAGTCACACGTATGGATGCGTCTAAATTACCCATACGCTTTGAATGGTTAACTAAATAAGTAGAATATAATAAATCTAGAAAGATGGATTGTGTATGACTGTTAGTGTCAACGCTACTTTTCATATACTCCTTGTTTTAACGTGGAGCGAAAGAAAATAAAGTGACTTGGTTTCATAAGTCACCAATTATTCACACGGAGCTTTTAGGACCACTTCTATAATCTTTGTCTAATACCTCTAAATTATCAAGTTTTGTAGTTAACTTTGTTAGGCATGTTTTTGAAACCTGCACTTTTTGTGCCAATCCGTCAATCATATGACCCTAGGTTCTACACTCCTATCTCAGTACTTTTTTCTGTTTATATCATCCTAGCAAAATGTTTGTCACTTGATTTCACTCGGTATGCTAAAAAATGGACCAATCTCGTCAAATATTGTGGTGCATAGAACTTTGTAGTCAAACAAACTTAGCCCTTCACTCGTCTAATTAGCCAGGGATTCATCTGTACTACGATGGTTCATTAAAAAACACTATACCAGTTAATCAAACAATCCCCCTCCGGTTACGATGACTACTGTCCTACTGAATGTTTCTGACCCATTAGTCTCAACCTACCTTAATATGGAATAAACTTCTGGATCCATCTTTGCTTCTGATTTGAAAAACTCGGTACTACTGGCTTTGCACAACTGTTAATAAGTGTTTGCTTGTAAAATTCCTTAGGATTGTGTGTAATCAAAACGGTATTGGCAGGCTCCAACTTAGGCGAAACAACCGTGTATGTCAAAGTCAAGCACTGACCTCTCTTGTTGTTTGTTTCAGAATTCGAAAGAGTTATTTGAGTGCATTTCACAGTGCATCTTGAATGCCCTCAATCGTGACGCTGTATCTGGTTGGGGTGCCCGAGTTTATTTAATGTAAGTCATATTACTTTTTTTAAAATGACACGAAACTTATTGCTAAGAAGTACTATCCTGGTGAGCTTGAGCAGCTTACCAGTCAAAGAGTAGTATTTCGTAACGTGGCGATTCACGATAAAAAGTAATAAATTTCAATAGATAAACATTTTTGACATGACTAGTGAACATTTACATGAGGAATTTTTTACTTTACTACGACAAACGAAACGGCTGAGCATAAGTATCTGGATTAAAATAGATGGGTAAAAGTTGGGGTTTGGAGTACGGTTTGAGAAGGTTAGAGTTAAGAGTTAGTGTTTAGAATTACGGTTAGAGTGGAAAATACCTTTTAGCCATACAAAACATTTTTAACTATGCCTTAAATCACGTCAAGTACGCTCAACAAACACTTAACAGTGTAAGTAAAATCTGGATCAAGTATCTTTTTGTGATTCCGCTTACATGCCTCTTATTCACTTTGCGGTAACACGGTAGACAAGTTTGCCAATTTTAAGCATTTTAAGAACTAAACATAGACAATTTATATTTGGTTTGTAATAGGGTAAAAGCTATCAGCTATTGTGTTTTACATTTTGCCTAAGAACACAACGGTTATTAGTCCGTCAGTAAATCATATTTTTACTAAATATTTCTTGTTAGAGAAGCTTCCAAAAAATGTTTTGATGTCTTAGGTGATCTCAGTCGGCCAGTCATCTACAACATAGGACCAGACACATATATGCATCGGTCCAATTGGCCATACCTCATCAGCCCAACACGATGAACACCAAATTCATAGAAGTAGTTACTTTGATGGTAGTAATAAATAAAAGAAAGATTCTATATAAGGATATAATACAGAAAGAAAGAAATTTCAATCTCACGGTTTAAATGAAGATGAGAAGTGTACACACCTACTCACCGTGATTGATTCTGAGCCATATCACCCAGAGTCTCCAACCACTGGTTTCGATGGTGGCGTGAACTCCAACCCAGTAATCTGCATCTAATAACATGGTTCAGATCAGAAGTTAGTGACTTTATGGAATAATGCCACGTTTTGTCTTGGCTGCCCCTAACTTCCATACATTTCCAACACTAGTCAGCTTGCGTGATGTGGTATTCGGTGGTCGGGCATACGTAATACGTGGTCCAACCATCTCAACCCTTGAGGATTCACAACCTCATCAACTGGTTTACCATCATTCCACAATCCCCTATGTCTAACCTCACTTTTACTTACCCAGTGATCTCAGCAAATACGAATAATATTTTTAAGACATATGTGATCGAACATTAGTAACTTACTAGCACCCTTTACTCTTAATGGACACATTTCGAAGCCGTAAAGTAGAACAGAACGGACTGCTGCACAGTATACTCGTTCTTTAATAGACAGATATATTCGCCTTCGCCATAGGTGACGTAAGTTGGGAAAGGTCAAACGAGCCTTTTGAATCCGTACAGAAATTTCGTCAGACACCAATCCAATAGGGCTGATCAGACTTTCAAGATAAGTGAAGTTGTCAACGCGTTCGACTACCTCACTGCCTATCCTTAGTTCAGGTGTTGACGCAGACCAATCCTGAAGCAACAACTTGCATTTAATAAGAGGGGGAACCGCATCCCAAGCATCCAGGTATTGTTGCCCAGTGCTATCAAAAGACTGTTTTTAATCAGCGTCTTCACCAAACAGGACTATTATCTGCGTATTCTAAGTCGATAAGTGGATCTCCTAATAGGAGATCAATTCCTGAAAATTCAGACGACGAGAGCGTTATTTCCAGCAGTAGGTCTATGATGAAATTAAACAAATTTGTAGTAGCAGTCTTGTCGGACACCACTCAAGGTTGCGAAATCAGATGACAGTTCACCATAAGCTCTGACTCCACTAGTAGTGTTCGAGCAAAAAGCCTTTACAAGGTTTATGTACTTCTGAGGTACGCCTTTCAATGACAAACACTGCCACAAAACCTCTCGGTCTATCAAGTCGAATGCTGTGAAGAAAGACCACCATTGTCGGACAACAATAAGCATGTATGTTCTAGGATCTGACAAATAGTGAATATGTGGTCGATGCAGCCACGACTAGGTCTGAAGCCAGCCTGATAATCTATCTGAAGTCGACCGCAGTATTCTTATATCAAGGGTGTTTGCAGCTGATGTTATAAATTGTATGCAAGTATTTTCAGTATACAGAACATTTGTGTTCGTTTTAAGCACGGTCTCATTGAACATATATTTAACATACTGCTGACAAAAACAGTTATGAAGCCCAATAGTTGTCTCTAATACTCTGGGTTCGAAATCTTAACTAGGTACTTGTTATGTAACTAGCCATGTCCTCAAAATGTTGATATCTAAAACATTTAAAAATAATATTTAGTTGTCACTAAATGCTAATCAGATATTAAGAAGCTGTAGATTGATCGTCAATGTCGTGGGCGCTAAGACAATTTCTAAAATGGTGTCGATTGCAAATCAGATTTGTACAAAAGTTTATTGGTGTTAAAAATGTTTTCCCGAATGAAAATCTAAAACAGGAGTTATTAGTGAATATCTAGAAAGATAAAATAAACCACAGCCAGAAAATTGTACAAATTTCCACAAAACAGTAGTTACCATGGATAGCTGTATGGTTTAATCCAGTTAACGATACACTTTCCCCATCATTTTTGCAACCAACTTTTCGGAGTGAGGGAACTATGCATAAGCAGGTTTATAGGCAAAAACGAATTGAGTATTACCCAAGTCATGTGTACATATGCATGATACTGGAGTGATGTAAACAAATATGTAGACAGTGACCTTGGTCACTGGCAGTAAGGCTAACCATTTCCGTACTTTTCTACTTACCACGTGTTTGCGATCGGATTCGGTCTGTTTGGACTAAGGAAACCCATCAAACCATATTAATACTGACTAATAAATGAATTTTATTCACCTAGATTATAAATCACCAGGTAAACTAACACGATATACATATATAACTACATCATATAGGGTACCATCGCCAAATGATCACAAGAATGTTAGTGTTAGTTTTGTGTGAAATTACAGGTTCAAGCTTAGGATCTTTGAGATTCTACGCTGAAAGTATTGATTTAAGTAATAAAACGTTTAACCCTTAATCCACTGGTTAAGACGTCACTTTCATAAGAACCTATATAACGTTAATGCTGTAGGGGCCAATAGGTAAGCTAATTTAATGTGCGAAAAATGTAAACCAAAAAAAGTATTTGATGGGAAACAAGATTTCGGGAAGTGGTGGTTTTCAGCAGATAACTGTCCCATGTATAAAATTTTCAACGCCTAATGAGTAGAAAGTATATTGTATTCATCAGTATGCTTGTAAGAGTCAAACCTCAAATATCCTACTAATTAGTTAGTTATTCACCAATAAATTAGATTATCACAGTCACACATCAAAATATGTAATTCTGCCTATCATTAATTTATAGCTAATCAAGGATTCGTTGAGTGTCTTTGTGGTTCTCAATTAATATTTTCTTGAACTTATGTGCCATGGTAACTTGAACTGTAGTAGTGTTTATTCATGTGAGACAGTAATAAATAGATCTCTATGCTTCTAAGTTTTGTAGTTTAAATCCTCGTGAAATATGTTTCCTTTCAGGATCGTAAAACTCATTCCTTGCAGTTTGTACGTATAGTAGCTTTTGGATATTTTCCAATCACTCAGATTCTTGAAGACAATAAAAAAATCATTATTTTATTGTCTCGTCGTTTACTACTTATCATGATACTTTTCTTGCTATTTAATTTTCCAGAGAAAAGGATGCAGTCACGATTTCCGACTTGAAAATGCGTATGGACTAGGTTAATGAAATATAAGTTACATATTTTGCTTGTTATACTGTTTTTATTATTCACACTAATTTGTGGTACAGATTTCCACTTTGCATTTCCTTACTTCCAGTTTTCTAAGAACAGTGTAAACAAAGATTTTTAATGTGGGTTTATATGTTTATACTTTGTATTGAGTGGTTCTAAGACATCACTGTTGTAGGATCGCGTTTTGATCAGAACGTTGGGATTCGCCGTTCACTAATTTAGGAAATAATGACTGTTTGATTTCGAAAACGCTTATAGTTTAATTGTGAAGCTGAAACTTAGTGTCCTGATTACCCCGTTTCAAGAAATCCACGTATAAACAAACATGTCTTGACGGGAACATCAGTCGGGTCCCATCGATTGGTAGAAAATAATTAAGTATAAAATTAGCAGTAAGTCTTAAGTGGCTCGAAATTTGACTCCATGTAGATGGTTTTCTCATACACATAGTTCCCTTTATCATTTTGAAAAAAGCAAGAACAAAGATTCTAGCAGAATAACATGAATTCATTTTATTTCGTAGGTTCTCGTCATCTGCTTACAACCTGTGGTATTTAAAAGATAATTACGTAATGGGTTTAAATTACTTACATGAGAGGGTTTATATTGAAAAAATATTCGTAAAGTATGACATGGGTGTAAATGAAATTAATAGGCTGAATATTGTAAATATATACCTAATGTGAAAGAATATTCTAGAGCAGTAATCGTGACAGCAGTTCAAAAGGGTTAGAAATAAACACCCATGTCATACTTTACGAATATTTCTTCAATATAAACCCTCTCATGTAAGCAATTTAAACCCATTATGTAATTATTATCTTTTAAATACCACAGGTTGTAAGCAGATGACGAGAACCTACGAAATAAAATGAATCCATGTTATTCTGCTAGAATCTTTGTTCTTGCTCTTTTCAAGATGGTTTTCTGCTTGCTATCGAAATGTACATTCCACCGATCCTCGTGTATATAGTCATCCACTTAAATCGCATTAGTGGATAACTGAATTAAATAAGTCAAATAAGAGAACGAATTGCGAATACATGTATTCCACACAATCGTTGATCAGAAAGCAAAACAAAATGGTGCAATGGAGAAGACAAGTGAGTCGATTCGATTTACCCAAGCGTGACTCAGTATTTATAATCAGACGAAAAATGAGTTACAGACACATACAGAAAGTCAGTCAGGATTAATAAGCGAATAATTGGCAGGGTAAAAATATGGCTTAAAAATGAGTAGATTGATCCTAGACTTTGGTCTAGGATAACATGTGGGCTCGCCATAATACCAGCCCCCACAAATCATACTCGCAACACATGCTATCAACTCCATCCTATCATTGAGGAAATTAGACCTTCATTGAATGGTCGTAACACTTAGTTTAAGCTGCAGTTTAGCATCTAATCATCTTGTGATAGCAAAATATGACTGCACTTGACATTGGTATCGTTTGACATGAAGAATTAAGCTGAAATATAATTGTAAGTATAGTCACCTCACGATAAACATGTGAAGATCCAACAACAGTTATTCCCAGAAACCTATGGTACATCAGCCTATAAGGTTATAAAAATGAAGATACAGTACCTGAATGTTGTTTCAGCAATGTTCGGCATTGTGTATTATAAATTTGAAACTCAGCTTCTTACCTACAATCTACATTATTAAGAAATGAAAAATAGACGGAAAGTGTAGGTCCTTAAATATTTCACATAACAAAGTAACGTCTAATCCCATTGATGCACTTGACGTTCAATAAAATCATGTTTCATTCGTAGTGCGTATTTCGATGGAAAGTATAACATTATGTGATTAACTAGGGCTTATATCTCGGTCGTTCTGATATGACAATATTATACATCGCTAAATTAGACATTTGAATCTTAAATTTTGGATAGCGGAAATCGAACCATATTTTGTTTATCAGAATGTGGATTGTCAGGCTGCATGTAATTACGGTTACAAACTATTTTAATGATTGAGTTCAATAGGGTTGAGCATTATTAGACGATAGTAAGAATTAACGTGGAAGAGTCGTTTACAGTTTATTTGGAAGAAACAAAATCAACTGAAGTATACACAAGTAAAATAAACTATGTACAATATGGAAAAAGGGGATTTATCGATCATCGGTAGTGATGGGAGATACGGACATTTGACTTCAAACAAAAGCTAATTACTTAATGTTGATAGATTCAACGGAACACCGCAACTTTTCCTGGGAAAATAAAATCACAGAGTAAAAATGTAATTATACGGAGGTATTGGCATATAGATAGTAAGATATATAGATGGTGGGTAATTCTCCTAAAATAATCCATAATCATATGGAGACTGAAACTTACAATACGCAGGTTTAATTGACTTGGCTACGGACGACACTGTTTATGTGAGGAGTAATGATAATAACAGGTTTTTCAAAGTAAAGAGAAACTTACTAACTGATTAACGTTCAATTGCGTTAAACACCAAAATATTCAGTGAACAAATAAGGGCCACATCTGAGATGTACAGCCTTTTTTACACTATCCGTTCAAACTACTACAGTAAAATGTGTGACTATCACATATTACTAATAATCTTTATGTCAGTTAAGATCGCAATCCCAGTAAAACTGGAAGCCGAATAGCTGCTGATACAGTGTTGAGTTCTGGTCTGCAGATCTAAATTTCAAAAGTTATGTTATGTAGAACTGTTTCAGTGGAATCGGCCGAAGAACATGTATTTGCAGATATCTATTATCGTAAAGACTTTAGTAACCTGTATATTGAAGAATTGTAAGGATTATATCGGTTAGTTTCGAATATGATATTAGTCAAGCTGTTCGATCGACTTAACTAGTTCCCAAATTAAAGGGAATTCTCAGTTGACAAGGTGATAGAATTATGACAACAGGAATTAGTATTTAAATATACTAAGCAGTGTAGCTTTGAACCAATAACAACAAATATTTTAAATAGGATAGTTACGATACAGTTTATCCTTTCTTTACTCTCGGTATTATGCCTTCTCTTTGGTGTTAAGAAATAATTATTTACGTCTCACCAAATTTCATAATTGTTATATATATATATATAGCGAGATATAGTGACATCAAATAAGCTTGCGTAAAACACTTAGGATCGTTTCTTCTAAGGACTGGTAATACTATTCTGAGGGTTAAAACCCAGTGAGTGGATTGACGTTTAAAACCGCGGAAAACCTACTGGAAGTAAGGTACCTAAATCGGTCAAAATCCCTAATTAGGTTTTACACTTAATTTTGGGGAAACAACTAGGATATTCATATGATAAATTTACCATACAACCTATAGCAGTAACCTGTGGAAGGTTTGGGATTGGGTGTTGGATACTTTTGGGTGGACATACGTGAGGAAATTGAAGTATGTTGATATCTGGGCAATTTTCTTTAGGACTATGGAATTATTTATTATTGTTGAGATAATACCCTATTACCATACACGAACTGGGCAAAGAAAACCAAATGTATCACCAAAGTACTTACGATAATTGTAGCGTTTGAGTTTCCTACAGTGAGCTCATTCACTGTGTTTATTTGAGCAGTCCCCAGACTTGTTGTACATCTTAAATTAACTCCAGATTTCATATCTAACAGCTTTTTTTCAACTTCATATGCTCCATCGGCGTTTATAATTCCTACAACAGATACAAGTCTTGGTTTATGACATAAATGTGCTAATTTTTTCCTTGTATGGGTAATGATTATTGGTACCGGCGGGTCACATTCTTTTGCAAGTTCCCAGATCTGACAGAGTACTTTTTCCAATGCACTAAGAACTATCTTATTTTCAGCTCCCTTTTCATCATATGTAACTGAGAATTATAATAAAAGGACAGATTATTTGATCGAAAAGGCTCATCAATATAGAATTACTGAAGAGAATTAGTCAGAATATTGAAAGTGCTTTCAGAATGCCACCTATGAGAAACTATTTATTAGTCAATAAGCTGTACGCCATGGATAGTAAGCACACATTGACGTCACTAAATGATACTGATTGGTTTCATTCAATTCATGATAAAACCTTTTGCTCGAGAGGGAAGCGGTGTGTTCGTGTGGGCTAATTACCGCAAGTGTTAAATATGAATCTGTACTGACTAACCACTATTTCTACTAACATACGTTTACCTATTATCCCGTTGGAATCGGGAGCCATTATTTTACTTAATACATATTATTTGGGATAAGTTGGCACCGAAAATACAATGTACCACACAACACAAACATATAGCTGTAAAGAAAATAAAAGCGGAAGTAGTAGAGCCGAGAAGAACTATCGGTAATCAAGATTATTATATGATGGAAGAAACAGTTCAGTTAACAATACATCTGAATAATACTCCTCTCGGTTAAGTCCGTTTCATATTTATGAATAATGTAAAGGAAAACTATTTCAGGCTGACCAGTGGATTCTATTTGGAATAATGTCCGATAAGGTTTCAGGCCAATGAAACCCATCGTCTCTCGGGCCCTAACCAAGGAGTCGTGAAAGACCGACGGGCGCCAGTCTTAAACAGCTTCCTTTCATACCCCGGCACTATATCCTAGAAAGGCCACCTCTTCGCTTTTTCCAGTCAGTCCCAGGGTCCGATGTACAAGCCGTCGAGTTAACATTCGTAAAACATGTCTGCTCTACGAAGGCCGATGTTTCAGGATGGCAACACCAATTGAGTTATCACTACTGCGCTTGGACAACATTAAACAACAGCATTGTCACTGAACATCAACAGCACTTCAGAGACAATGATCGAACACAGAGAGTCGCTTAACATCTTAAACTTGTACAGCTCAGGTTTTCCAATGATAGAGCAAAACTACCCTCATCGACTTTGCAAACCCGACCTCTTATAGCTATACTAACATCATGACAGCAGCAAAGATGACTTAGATTAGCATAAGCCATTCTGGCTTTTACCATACGTAAATTGATCTGATCACTTACATTATCAGCACTAACGCAATTACCCAAACAAATTTTTCGATTACTTTTAATGGTCCGCCACCAGTAGTGAGTGTAAACCCGAACTCCTGTTGGTCTTATAGAAGTACTTTGCATTT